CACTGCTGAATACAATGCTATTTGCATAGAAAAATCAGTACGTGGTTGCTTCCTGCAGATCCTCAGTTATCGCGCCTGCATCATCGAGAACAGAAAGAGGCTCAGTGCTGATACTTGGGGGACTCCTACCCGCACAGGGAATTCTCCCGTTTCGCCGCATGCTCTTCGGACTATCGTTGTCATTCTGTCCTAAATGTCTTCAGTAAGTCTGACATTTTTCTGGCACAAGCTTCTTTCTTATTCACCATCAGGTTACTTGCCTCAGGATTCGATCAAAATCTCTACAGGTCTAGGAACCCCACGTGAATATATCGTCTGTCTTCTCTGTATGTTTCGAGACCTGATCTTAAAGCAAAGATGGCGTCCGTGGTTGTCCGCTCGAACATAAAGTAAATTCGGTTCGCAATGTTCTTCACACTTTCGTTGCGTTCCTCGGTCTTCTGTCCATACCCACTCACATAGCTTCATGGTGTTGCTACGCAATTTAATTCTACGATAACTTTCATAAGTCAGGATATCTACTTTCGTTTTCTACAATGTAATAAATATACTCTTCTTGCATAATTCGTAACCACGCTTTCTCATCCCAACGACTTAGATGCTTCTTTGGGAACTTCATTAGAAAAAAGGGCTCTTGAATTTTTCAGTCGGATGAGGCTTGCCTCACTTGATCGACTGAGATCTGTTCGATTAGTAGCAGCTTTTGTATGAAGTCACTTTGCCATTATTACTATTAATATTTCTTCACTTTTCTCGTCGGTCAGCACCATTCCGTTTTCGCCATTTATGTACATCACTTTACCGATGTCTCTTCTTTTCTTTCTCTGGCTTCTGCTATGCGATAGATGTCTTACTCTTCTTCTTGCTTACATATAAACTATTACACGCTATTGACTTTGTTTCATCGACGACTTTCTTTGCCTCCCGCTTTGATACGGCATATTTTACTGTCTTGTTTTATAGCTGGTGTTTGTTGAACGTATCTTTCTTCTGACGTAGGGTTGCCTGCACTCTCGCATTCCATTACTACGTTTCTTTCTGGACATATGCTACGCATTTCGCTTCTCTGACGTCGACTACCATGCGAAAGTGAAAGATCTATTAAATACGCTATAAACAAAATATTGGCCTCTAAAGCGTTTCATTGTTTTTCTTCAGCAGAGACTGCAGTACGAGTCGTCATAACAGCAATACGCAAAACATTAAGTGCTGAAACTCGGCTGTTGAAAGCCGTGTCAAATTTGTTGTAGGAATTTAGGAGTACCAACACTAGACAGTAAAGTAATCAAATACATCAAATGATTCGCGTATATGCTTACAGGGGCACTAACCTTCAACTAATTTTCGTATCTTCTCCTGGTCACCCCAACGAAGGTTTTCAAAACCGGCCATGTCGCCCGTCGTCTTAACTTTGCCCGTTCGTGCAAAACACGTGAAGTGGTACCACAACGGAATTTTGCCATCGAAATGAGGACTCTGCAATCGAAATAGAGCAGTTAAGTTTTGCCCTTACTTACTGTCCCGCCTACAGCTTTGAATAATTCTTTCAAAAAGACATGTAGTCGTTAAACACAGTTGTTGCACTTATTCCGGCTTGTCTGAACTGTGAAAAATAGCATTTCAAAAAATAACAAAAAAAAATGCCATAGAGTACCAAGCATGACACTACAATTTCAGTCAGTTAGTAGTGGACACATTCATGCTTCCAGTGGTCGTCACTGCCGGTTGCACAGCTTGTTTCTACATTCTAATGTATGTGTTACCGTGTCGCGCAGAGGTTCAAAGGTATAGGAAGATGAATAGTACTAAAACTCTATGACAGTAGCTGAATAGCAAGAAACAGTCACCCAAAGTAACTAGGCGACCAGCAATTAAGTCAGATGGGGTCTGGATGTATCTACAGCAGACTGAAACTGTATCATGCTTTGTACTTTAAACGTACTGAGTTAGCTATTAAGACATCAAAAAGACGATACGAAGATTATATTTTCGTTCAATAATTAACACAGTGCTTTGAAAGAAGAGGACACCCAGAAGATTTAGCACTTAGTTCTCATATTCATGGGACAGATCAAAAAATTTCGCCAACATCTTTTGAAAACCCTAGAAACAGGTCTGGGTCCGTGTTCCAACAGTCATTTTCAAACTGCGGGTTTTTAAAACAAATCATACGGGTGAACACAGACAATCCACTCTCCCCATCTTTGCCGAAACTGTCCTGGAATATCTAGTATGCCTAGATGCTGGCCATATGGCGCGTACCCATGTTGCGCATAGGGGATGACCTCGAGATATGGAGGTTAGATGTCGTAAACAGAAAACGGTGAAATCATCAGCGTGGCTAGGTTCGAATTCGACCAGCTCATCGAGAAAATTACAATGCTCATTGACAGTCTCACGTCGAGGCAAAAGCGACTCGCTCCTATGAAGAAAAAAGGCTCAGTCGAAGTATCGTGAAATACCACATGCAGAGTGGAGAACATATAATAAACAAACCACACGCACTGAGTGCTCGCTGCTACATTCAAATCATCTGCTATAGGGAAATTCCTAAGCGAACTAACACTTGATCTGAGTGCAAACAGCATTCAAGTATCCATCTTGTGTGACGAACTGTCATTTCGGTGATGGGTGCTAAATTATTCCCTTATCTCGGGTTACATATCCTTTGTATTAAAAATTCGATTAACTTTATTCGTTTAAACAAAAAAGTTCTTATCAGCAAAAGGGTATTTTCATGCCAAGGAGTTAAATGGCAACGTTGAACAAATTATATAAAAACAAAGTCTTTATCGCTCTAAAACTTGTGAAATGAAGCTCGCTATAATCATTTATTTCTGCTCTTGTGAATCGTTGAAAATCCCGGATATGAAAGGCAGAACCGATATGTGGTACAGTCTAGTTCTGGATGACACTTATTGAGCTTCTCGTTCCAGGATACACTGAAACCGTGTTCAGGGACTGTTTGTGCAATGGATGGTTCACGTCATTCAGAAACGTTCGCTGTAACTGTGTAGCTATTTCGATGTTCATATACGCTATCTGGTAAAAATCTCTGCTAGGCCAATCTTGCTGATGCGGCTGATCAGCGGAACTACACAGCGACGGATCGAATACACTTTCTTCCGGAGACCCGCGAAAGCCGTAGAACCAAAATAAGTCATTATCGGCAACCAATGATCAGTCAAAAGCAAACGGATGAGTCAGCTTTCTCGAAGGTGGAACTAAATCTCACAAACCTGAATACGTAGTAAGAACCCTTGCATACCTTCGT